TCAGCTATCATAACTTTGGGGTCCAGTCCCTGGACCCATTATGTACCTCTGTAATCTTTTGACTACCGCCCACAGGATGGGTATAGGGTGACTACCGCCCACAGGATGGGTATAGGGTGACTACCGCCCACAGGATGGGTATGGGGTGCATAATAAACATATTAAACTAAGAGTTTGGTGTTTGGTGAATTTGTTGGATGCACCACAGACATGCGGCTGCTCCTGCGTGATAAGATGATGCTAAGAGGACTGACTGATGTCATTCTCCCTCAGTCTGAAATCAACGAAGTTTATTTGAGGTTCTTTTCATGTTGTTCTGAAACTACTAATTGACAGCTCAAAGTTGTGATCTGCTCCCTCTATGAAGACTTGTCTTTGCCAGTTCATCAGTTCCATCATGCATCTGATGACCATTCCTTGCTTCAATTTAAGGTAATATAAATAATTCAAAACCACATATAAGCTATACTGTAATATTTTTGTGACTTAATTCATATCTGCATAAATAATTCATTACAGCTGTAACCAGATTCAAACATGTAAATACTTCATTACCACAGTAATCTGTTTAGTATTTAAAACTTTGGGGGTCAGTCCCTGGACACATAACGTTTCTCTGTAATGTTGAGGTACAGTCCCTGCATTCATTGTGTGTCTCAGTAATGTTGAGGTACAGTCCCTGGACCCATTATGTGTCTGTGTAATCTTAGACTACCACCCACACCATGGCTATGGGGCTCACAATAAACATTAAAATAACCGGAGGAGACAACAGAAGATAAATAACAAGCAGCACATTTAAAGTATATATTTTAAGTTATTCAGTTGTTAACAAACATTAATATGTATTAACTATGATAATATCTTACACACGCTGTCATCACACATCAACACATATCAAGTTATATATCTTACACACGCTGTCATCACACATCAACACATATCAAGTTATATATCTTACACACGCTGTCATCACACATCAACACATATCAAGTTATATATCTTACACACGCTGTCATCACACATCAACACATATCAGTTATATATCTTGCACACGCTGTCATCACACATCAACACATATCAAGTTAATATCTTACACACGCTGTCATCACACATCAACACATATCAAGTTATATATCTTACACACGCTGTCATCACACATCAACACATATCAAGTTATATACTTGCACAAAGCTGTCATCACACATCAACACATATCAAGTTATATATCTTTACACACGTTCATCACAATCAAAACATATCAATTATTATCTTACACACCTGTATACACACATCAACAATAGCAAATTATATATCTTACACACGCTGTCATCACACATCAACACATACAGTTATATCTTACACACGCTGTCACCACATCAACACAATCAAGTTTATATTTACACACGCTGTCATCACACATCAACACATATCATTATATTCTACCACCTGTCATCACACATCAACACATATCAAGTTACAATCCCTAACACAACGCGTCTGCATCACACATCAACACATATCAAGTTACATATCTTACACACGCTGTCATACAACACAACACATATCAGTTATATATCTACACACGCTGTCATCACACATCAACACATATCAAGTTACATATCTTACACACGCTGTCATCACACATCAACACATATCAAGTTTATATCTTACACACGCTGTCATCACACATCAACACATATCAAGTTATATATCTTACACACGCTGTCATCACACATCAACATATATCAAGTTATATATAAAAATATCCATAACTGGATGTATATGAATAAGTTCAGGTGATGACTATTTTTCTCATTAGTTAAATAAAACTTAGTTTCAATTAATTTTCCTCTTAAAATATTGTATACAATATTTAGACATTAGGCATTTTACCACACAGGTCTGCATGATGTCAGACCAGACACACACACGTCTGCATGATGTCAGACCAGACACACACACGTCTGCATGATGTCAGACCAGACACACACACGTCTGCATGATGTCAGACCAGACACACACACGTCTGCATGATGTCACACCAGACACACACACGTCTGCATGATGTCACACCAGACACACACACGTCTGCATGATGTCACACACAGTACACTCACACGTCTGCATGATGTCAGACCAGACACACACACGTCTGCTGATGTCAGACCAGACACACACACTTCTGCAGTGTCACACACACACACACGTCTGCATGATGTTAGACAGCTACACACACGTCTGCATGATTCACACCAGACACACAACGTCTGCATGTTCAGCCAGACACACACACGTCTGTCATGATGTCACACCAACACATCACACGTCTGCATGAAGTCACACCATACTACACACGTCTGCATGAGTCACACCAATCACACACACGTCTGCATAGATGTCAGACCATACTACACACACTGTCATGCATGAATGTCAGACATACACACACACGTCTGCATGATGTCAGACCAGAACATACACACGTCGCATGATGTCAGACCAGACACACACACGTCTCAGTGTCAGACCAGACACCAGTCTGCATTGATGTCAACATACACAACAGTTTAATTATGTCCTAACCAACACACAAGTCTGCATGATATCAACCTAGACACTCTGGCATGTTCAACCAACACACACGGTCTGCATGATGTCAGACCAGACACACACACGTCTGCATGATGTCAGACCAGACACACACAACGTCTGCATGATGTCAGACCAGACACACACACGTCTGCATGATGTCAACCAGAACACACACGTCTGCATGATGTCAGACCAGACACACACACGTCTGCATGATGTCACACCAGACACACACACGTCTGCATGATGTCAGACCAGACACACACACGTCTGCATGATGTCAGACCAGACACACACACGTCTGCATGATGTCAGACCAGACACACACACGTCTGCATGATGTCCACACCAGACACACACACGTCTGCATGATGTCAGACCAGACACACACACTGTCTGCATGATGTCAGACCAGACACACACACGTCTGCATGATGTCAGACCAGACACACACACGTCTGCATGATGTCAGACCAGACACACACACGTCTGCATGATGTCAGACCAGACACACACACGTCTGCATGATGTCAGACCAGACCACACACGTCTGCATGATGTCACACCAGACACACACACGTCTGCATGATGTCAGACCAGACACACACACGTCTACATGATGTCAGACCAGACACACACACGTCTGCATGATGTCAGACCAGACACACATCTGCATGATGTCACACCAGACACACACACGTCTGCATGATGTCAGACCAGACACACACACGTCTGCATGATGTCACACCAGACACACACACGTCTGCATGATGTCAGACCAGACACACACACGTCTGCATGATGTCAGACCAGACACACACGTCTGCATGATGTCAGACCAGACACACCACGTCTGCATGATGTCAGCACCAGACACACACATGTCTGCATGATGTCAGACCAGACACACACATGTCTGCATGATGTCAGACCAGACACACCACACGTCTGCATGATGTCAGACCAGACATCACACAGTCTGCATGATGTCAGACCAGACACACACACGTCTGCATGATGTCAGACCAGACACACACATGTCTGCATGATGTCAGACTAGACACACACACACGTTTGCATGATGTCAGACCAGACACACACACGTCTGCATGATGTCAGACCAGGCACACACGTCTGCATGATGTCAGACCAGACACACACATGTCTGCATGATGTCAGACCAGACACACACGTCTGCATGATGTCAGACCAGACACCACACAGTTGCATGATGTCAGACCAGACACACACACGTCTGCATGATGTCAGACCAGACACACACGTCTGCATGATGTCAGACCAGACACACACACGTCTGCATGATGTCAGACCAGACACACACACGTCTGCATGATGTCAGACCAGACACACACATGTCTGCATGATGTCAGACCAGACACACACATGTCTGCATGATGTCAGACCAGACACACACACGTCTGCATGATGTCAGACCAGACACACACACGTCTGCATGATGTCAGACCAGACACACACGTCTGCATGATGTCAGACCAGACACACACACACGTCTGCATGATGTCAGACCAGACACACACACGTCTGCATGATGTCAGACCAGACACACACACGTCTACATGATGTCAGACCAGACACACACATGTCTGCATGATGTCAGACCAGACGCACACACGTCTGCATGATGTCAGACCAGACACACACATGTCTGCATGATGTCAGACCAGACACACACACGTCTGCATGATGTCAGACCAGACACACACACGTCTGCATGATGTCAGACCAGACACATACACGTCTGCATGATGTCAGACCAGACACACACGTCTGCATGATGTCAGACCAGACACACACACGTCTGCATGATGTCAGACCAGACACACACACGTCTGCATGATGTCAGACCAGACACACACACGTCTGCATGATGTCAGACCAGACACACACACGTCTGCATGATGTCAGACCAGACACAACACATGTCTGCATGATGTCAGACCAGACACACACACGTCTGCATGATGTCACACCAGACACACACACGTCTGCATGATGTCAGACCAGACACACACATGTCTGCATGATGTCAGACCAGACACACACACGTCTGCATGATGTCAGACCAGACACACACACGTCTGCATGATGTCAGACCAGACACACACACGTCTGCATGATGTCAGACCAGACACACACACGTCGGTATGATGTCAGACCAGACACACACATGTCTGCATGATGTCAGACCAGACACACACACGTCTGCATGATGTCAGACCAGACACACACGTCTGCATGATGTCAGACCAGACACACACACGTCTGCATGATGTCAGACCAGACACACACACGTCTGCATGATGTCAGACCAGACACGCACACATCTGCATGATGTCAGACCAGACACACACACGTCTGCATGATGTCAGACCAGACAAACACGTCTGTATGATGTCAGACCAGACACACACATGTTTGCATGATGTCAGACCAGACACACATGTCTGCATGATGTCAGAACAGGCACACACACGTCTCCATGATGTCAGACCAGACTCACACACGTCTCCATGATGTCAGACCAGACACACACACGTCTGCATGATGTCACACCAGACACACACACGTCTGCATGATGTCAGACCAGACTCATACACGTCTCCATGATGTCAGACCAGACACACACACGTCTGCGTGATGTCAGACCAGACACACACACGTCTGCATGATGTCAGACCAGACTCATACACGTCTCCATGATGTCAGACCAGACCATCACACGTCTGCGTGATGTCAGACCAGACACACACACGTCTGCATGATGTCAGACCAGACACATACACGTCTGCATGATGTCAGACCAGACTCACACGTCTGCATGATGTCAGATCAGACACACACGTCTCCATGATGTCAGACCAGACACACACACTACGTCTGCATGATGTCAGACCACACACACACACACGTCTCCATGATGCCAGACCAGTCACACACACATCTTCATGATGTCAGACCAGACTCACACCTCTCTCGTTGTATGTTCAGCTCATAACTGAAGTTACCCGGGTATAATTCCCGGCGAGGCGAAAGAGGTGATTACCGAGCAGTAAACAGGTACCTAAGAGTTAGCCAACTGTTGTGGGTCACATTTTAAGTATTTCGTGGCTTATTCTTCCTTATTAAACCTCCGAAATTGTTAACCCTCTAGGGCTGTTAATTCTCCGGGGTTACTAAACTTCCGGGGGTGAAAATCTGAAGAAAGTTCTTTCTACAGTTCTGGAAGATTTCTTTTGTTTTCTATAAACTTCAAATATCGTCTTTTTGTTCCCTGTTCTTGTTTATATATTTGATAGTTATCTGCAGTTGCTAACAACACTGAACAACCAGGAAAGTTTAACATAAAAACAATAGAAGATGTGTAAGAGGATATACAAGAGAGTTCATCAGTTCATCATGTTGAGAATCATTGCCATAACATTAACTGGGAAGCTGCTTACATTATACAGACAATTATATGTACAGGCGCAAAATCCCCGCCTTGGCAATGACTCCAATGAATCTAATTTCAACACCTCGCAAGGCCAGTGCAAACCTGACGCTATACCCACCCTTGTGAGGTCACATGCTCCTGCAACAGACTTTTGATCTGACTTGGGTCATGTCACCTTTCATTATAAGCTTCACCTTATACAACCTGCCTTTTTAGTTAACCGAAAAGAACCTCGGTGTGAAGTCGAAATAAATAACTTTAATTTTTAATTTTGTCTTCATGTGTATGCCCAAGTTTTACATTATTACATATTGACTTCTGAAAATATTACTACTGATGATATGGTCTTTAATATATATCATAATATTAATTGTTCTTTATTACAATTAATTCTTGTAAAATCTCAATGACTGAAGTCTGGGTTGTAATATATTTATGTCCTCTTAACCCACTCACTTTCTGTCTTTTCTTATATTTTCAGTTGGCACAATAAACTACATAATTAATATATAATACTGAACATGACGGGGGTGAGTTCAGCAGTAGGTGTAGAACACTGCTGGAGGTGTAGAACACTGCTGGAGGTGTAGAACACTGCTGGAGGTGCAGAACACTGCTGGAGCATACTCTGTCCCGGAGAGTTCAAGAATGGTCCAGCAGTAAGTGTATAACACTGACACAAGATATACTGAAGAGTTGGGAGTCTTGTGCCTGAGTGAGGATCTTCACTAGTGGGCACTTGTATAAGTGAAACTCCCAGAGAAAGGTTTGTAGCAGAGGCCTCGGACTAGCTCGAATCTAGAATCTGCTCCTAGAGACAAGCTAAAACAAAGCAAGAGGTATACGTAGTTTGCTCTAGCATTGTTTACAGGCCTTCTTGCAGTACACAAGCATATAGTTACTGTTAGAGTGACACTGGCCCATCTGGCTCCAAGAACTGCAGTACTTGTTCTTGTCCTCACACTGTTTCACTATAGGATTATCTGAAAGGTATACACACACACCCTCACACATGCGTAATTCAGGAATATATGTAGACATTTATTAATACTACACACACACTGTCACTTTGAAGTGTTAGTGGTGGTACTGGGAATTATCTTATTTTGTAAACAAGTCAGCCGTCACTGTATTCTTAAAAACCGCAGTTGCTATAAATCAAATAATTAAGATGTATATTCAGGTGACTGATGAAAGTTTAGAGTTTATATATATATAGATATATAATGAATGACTTTGGAAGCGTGGAGAAGTTGTATTAGCATGGGCTGGTGTCTTCTGAGGCTTCAACTAACCTTGGTGATCCTGACAGATACCACAAGACTTCTTGCAGTGGAGAGTCATGTAGTCTGGGTTGTTGGTACACTCTCCTTTCTCACTCCATATATTGCAGTAAATGCTAAGGTCCTGGCACTCTTTACCTGCAGCACCACCTGGCATTACTGATTGGTAAGAAGAGCAAGTCCATCAAACCCACAAACGACCGTCAGTGGTGTTAAAAGAAAAATAATTGTGTCAAGAAAATTAGTTTTAATAGCTGTTTAAAATTTATCTGTTATAAAAGGTTACATTACTACCGGTTGAATAGGCCTACTGACTTAGTTGCAAGATAATCAAAATTTTGATTTTTTTTTCTATTTATGACTGACATAATTGATTGATTGGACATTCAAGATTATTATATATCGTAGCTTCCAAAAAAATAAATAAGAGGTCATTTATGATAATTATCCAGGTGACAGTAGAGTAAAATTATTGGTTTGTGAATTATTAGCTGAATATTGTGGTGTGAGTACTGTGTATGTCAGTAGTTACTGTGGTGTGAGTACTGTGTATGTCAGTAGTTACTGTGGTGTGAGTACTGTGTATGTCAGTAGTTACTGTGGTGTGAGTACTGTGTATGTCAGTAGTTACTGTGGTGTGAGTACTGTGTATGTCAGTAGTTTACTGTGGTGTGATGTATTTGTGTATGTCAGTAGTTATTGTGGTGTGAGTACTGTGTTTGTCAGTAGTTACTTGTGGTGTGAGTACTGTGTATGTCAGAGTTACTGTGGTGTGAGTACTGTGTATGTCAGAAGTTACTGTGGTGTGTACTGTGTATGTCAGAGTTATGTGGTGTGAGTACTGTTATGTCAGTAGTTATGTGGTGTGAGTACTGTGTAGTCAGTAGTTACTGTGGTGTGAGTTATGTGTATGTCAGAAGTTACTGTGGTGTGAGTACTGTGTATGTCAGTGTTAGTGGTGTGAGTACTGTGTATGTCAGTAGTTATTGTGGTGTGAGTACTGTGTATGTCAGAGTTACTGTGGTTGTGAGTACTGTGTATGTCAGTAGTTAAGTGGTGGAATACTGTGTAGTCAGATGTATATGTGGTGTGAGTACTGTGAGTCATAGTTACTGTGTAGTCTGTGTATGTCAGAAGTTATGTGGTGTGAGTACTGTGTATGTCAGTAGTTATGTGGGTGAGAATGTGTTGTCAGTAGTTACTGTGGTGTGAGTACTTGTGTTGTCAGTAGTACTGTGGTGATCCTGACAGATACTGTGTATGTCAAGTAGTTACTGTGGTGTGAGTACTGTGTATGTCAGTAGTTATTGTGGTGTGAGTACTGTGTATGTCAGTAGTTATTGTGATGTGGTACTGTGTATGTCAGTAGTTACTGTGGTTGAGTAACTGTGTATGTCAGTGTTTGTGGTGTGAGAGCTGTGTATGTCAGTAGTTATTGTGGTGTGAGTACAGTGTAATGTCATAGTTACTGTGGTGAGTTACTGTGTATGTCAGTAGTTATGTGGTGTGAGTACTGTGTATGTCATGTAGTTATTGATGGTGTGAGTACTGTGTATGTCAGTAGTTACTGTGGTTGTGAGTACTGGTATGTCAGTGTTATTGGTGTGAGTACTGGTATGTCAGTAGTTATGTGGTGTGAGTACTGTGTATGTCAGTAGTTATGTGCGTGTGAGTACTGTGTATGTCAGTAGTTACTGTGTTCTATGCATGTATGTTGTATGTGTGTAGTAGTTATTGTGGTGTGAGTACTGTGTATTCAGTAGTTACTGGTGTGAGTATGTGTATGTCAGTAGTTATTGTGGTGTGAGTACTGTGTATGTCAGTAGTTACTGTGGTGTGAGTACTGTGTATGTCAGTAGTTATTGTGGTGTGAGTACTGTGTATGTCAGTAGTTATTGTGGTGTGAGTCTGTGTATGTCAGTAGTTATGTGGTGTGAGTACTGTGTATGTCAGTAGTTACTGTGTGGTGTGAGTACTGTGTATGTCAGTAGTTACTGTGGTGTGAGTACTGTGTATGTCAGTAGTTACTGTGGTGTGAGTACTGTGTATGTCAGTAGTTATTGTGGTTGTGAGTACTGTGTATGTCAGTAGTTACTGTGGTGTGAGTACTGTGTATGTCAGTAGTTATGTGGTGTGAGTACTGTGTATGTCAGTAGTTACTGTGGTGTGAGTACTGTGTATGTCAGTAGTTACTGTGGTGTGAGTACTGTGTATGTCAGTAGTTACTGTGGTGTGAGTACTGTGTATGTCAGTAGTTACTGTGGTGTGAGTACTGTGTATGTCAGTAGTTACTGTGTTGTGAGTACTGTGTATGTCAGTAGTTACTGTGGTGTGAGTACTGTGTATGTCAGTAGTTATTGTGGTGTGAGTACTGTGTATGTCAGTAGTTACTGTGGTGTGAGTACTGTGTATGTCAGTAGTTATTGTGGTGTGAGTACTGTGTATGTCAGTAGTTATTGTGGTGTGAGTACTGTGTATGTCAGTAGTTATTGTGGTGTGAGTACTGTGTATGTCAGTAGTTACTGTGGTGTGAGTACTGTGTATGTCAGTAGTTATTGTGGTGTGAGGTACTGTGTATGTCAGTAGTTATTGTGGTGTGAGTACTGTGTATGTCAGTAGTTACTGTGGTGTGAGTACTGTGTATGTCAGTAGTTATTGTGGTGTGAGTACTGTGTATGTCAGTAGTTACTGTGGTGTGAGTACTGTGTATGTCAGTAGTTACTGTGGTGGAGTACTGTGTATGTCAGTAGTTACTGTGGTGTGAGTACTGTGTATGTCAGTAGTTATGTGGTGTGAGTACTGTGTATGTCAGTAGTTACTGTGGTGTGAGTACTGTGTATGTCAGTAGTTACTGTGGTGTGAGTACTGTGTATGTCAGTAGTTACTGTGGTGTGAGTACTGTGTATGTCAGTAGTTACTGTGTTGTGAGTACTGTGTATGTCAGTAGTTATTGTGGTGTGAGTACTGTGTATGTCAGTAGTTATTGTGGTGTGAGTACTGTGTATGTCAGTAGTTACTGTGGTGTGAGTACTGTGTATGTCAGTAGTTACTGTGGTGTGAGTACTGTGTATGTCAGTAGTTACTGTGGTGTGAGTACTGTGTATGTCAGTAGTTTACTGTGGTGTGAGTACTGTGTATGTCAGTAGTTACTGTGGTGTGAGTACTGTGTATGTCAGTAGTTACTGTGGTGTGAGTACTGTGTATGTCAGTAGTTACTGTGGTGTGAGTACTGTGTATGTCAGTAGTTACTGTGGTGTGAGTACTGTGTATGTCAGTAGTTACTGTGGTGTGAGTACTGTGTATGTCAGTAGTTACTGTGGTGTGAGTACTGTGTATGTCAGTAGTTACTGTGGTGTGAGTACTGTGTATGTCAGTAGTTACTGTGGTGTGAGTACTGTGTATGTCAGTAGTTACTGTGGTGTGAGTACTGTGTATGTCAGTAGTTATTGTGGTGTGAGTACTGTGTATGTCAGTAGTTACTGTGGTGTGAGTACTGTGTATGTCAGTAGTTACTTGTGGTGTGAGTACTGTGTATGTCAGTAGTTACTGTGGTGTGAGATACTGTGTATGTCAGTAGTTATTGTGGTGTGAGTACTGTGTATGTCAGTAGTTATGTGGTGTGAGTACTGTGTATGTCAGTAGTTACTGTGGTGTGAGTACTGTGTATGTCAGTAGTTACTGTGGTGTGAGTACTGTGTATGTCAGTAGTTACTGTGGTGTGAGTACTGTGTATGTCAGTAGTTACTGTGGTGTGAGTACTGTGTATGTCAGTAGTTACTGTGTTGTGAGTACTGTGTATGTCAGTAGTTACTGTGGTGTGAGTACTGTGTATGTCAGTAGTTACTGTGGTGTGAGTACTGTGTATGTCAGTAGTTACTGTGGTGTGAGTACTGTGTATGTCAGTAGTTATTGTGGTGTGAGTACTGTGTATGTCAGTAGTTACTGTGGTGTGAGTACTGTGTATGTCAGTAGTTACTGTGGTGTGAGTACTGTGTATGTCAGTAGTTATTGTGGTGTGAGTACTGTGTATGTCAGTAGTTACTGTGGTGTGAGTACTGTGTATGTCAGTAGTTACTGTGGTGTGAGTACTGTGTATGTCAGTAGTTATTGTGGTGTGAGTACTGTGTATGTCAGTAGTTATTGTGGTGTGAGTACTGTGTATGTCAGTAGTTACTGTGGTGTGAGTACTGTGTATGTCAGTAGTTACTGTGGTGTGAGTACTGTGTATGTCAGTAGTTACGTGTGGTAGTGAGTAGTCTGTGTATGTCAGTAGTTACTGTGGTGTGAGTACTGTGTATGTCAGTAGTTACTGTGGTGTGAGTACTGTGTATGTCAGTAGTTATTGTGTTGTGAGTACTGTGTATGTCAGTAGTTACTGTGGTGTGAGTACTGTGTATGTCAGTAGTTACTGTGGTGTGAGTACTGTGTATGTCAGTAGTTACTGTGGTGTGAGTACTGTGTATGTCAGTAGTTACTGTGGTGTGAGTACTGTGTATGTCAGTAGTTACTGTGGTGTGAGTACTGTGTATGTCAGTAGTTATTGTGGTGTGAGTACTGTGTATGTCAGTAGTTACTGTGGTGTGAGTACTGTGTATGTCAGTAGTTACTGTGTTGTGAGTACTGTGTATGTCAGTAGTTATTGTGGTGTGAGTACTGTGTATGTCAGTAGTTACTGTGGTGTGAGTACTGTGTATGTCAGTAGTTACTGTGGTGTGAGTACTGTGTATGTCAGTAGTTACTGTGGTGTGAGTACTGTGTATGTCAGTAGTTACTGTGGTGTGAGTACTGTGTATGTCAGTAGTTACTTGTGGTTGTGAGTACTGTGTATGTCAGTAGTTACTGTGGTGTGAGTACTGTGTATGTCAGTAGTTACTGTGGTGTGAGTACTGTGTATGTCAGTAGTTACTGTGGTGTGAGTACTGTGTATGTCAGTAGTTATGTGGTTGTGAGTACTGTGTATGTCAGTAGTTACTGTGGTGTGAGTACTGTGTATGTCAGTAGTTACTGTGGTGTGAGTACTGTGTATGTCAGTAGTTATGTGGTGTGAGTACTGTGTATGTCAGTAGTTACTGTGGTGTGAGTACTGTGTATGTCAGTAGTTATGTGGTGTGAGTACTGTGTATGTCAGTAGTTACTGT